GTTACTCCATAATGATGTTCTATTTGAGGGCATTTGTAGTGTAGGTATAGGGCCCAAACATAACCTCAAGCCCATGGGCCCCCGCCCCACTAAGTCCTGCCCTGTCTGTAGGGCATGTTGTTTGTTCAAGATCAAGCATGTGAGTCAATTTTCAATTGAGTAAATGATTCATTGACATCACTCATAACACCTAAAAGACCCACAGGCATAATGACTTAACGTGTAGAATTAATGAACAAATCTTTTTTGTAAACAGATTCAAGTGTCACTTAGATGAATCAAAGTCCTCAGCACTACTCTCCTGGATCAGATTCCCTCCTTCTGCCTCCGCAAGTTTCGGTTGTATCCAAATTACGATACATTTACATCATCAACTCAAGCCCAACCGTCAATTGTTTACAGCTCTAAATATATAATGACTCAGGAGAAGGTACAAGCTTCACTGTTTTATTCATGTTCTTACCTCTTTGGTTTTACTACCAACCCAAAACACATACAGATTGGCACTTGCTTCTGTCTGCTGCAAAACAAATGAAAAAGAAACAAACAATGTTGCTCGTGAAAGGCATTTTCAGTGAAAACAAGTGATAATGAGAGATACATTATATTGAGTAGCGACATACTCAGTAAGCTGTAAAGTTCAAATACCCTAAAATACAGGCATCTTGCATTGCTGGTCAATATTTCACAATTTCAGCTGTTTAAAAATACGTTAATGACCAGAATGCAATGTTCTACAGATGTGTTGTTGGGCCCAAATGCATAGAGCCCAAATTGAGAGCGAGAAAGAAACTAATTGTCCGCATGGCTAAGGTCACATAAGATGGCTGTGAAGAATGGAAGAAATTGTTCAAATGCTCGGCAATCACAGATGTGCTGTCAAGTAGGGAGGAGGGGAGGGATGGATAGAGAGAGAGAGACAGAGAGAGCGTAAAAATGTCCCTATATGTGCCATTTCAAGTACATGTGAGAAGGAACTGGCTGAGTGAGAAATTCCCTTTTGTGTCTCAGCTTTTATAATATTTTTTTTCATAACCCTCTTTTTTTGAAGTCTTTGAGATGAGTGGAAGCCTACGTGCCCTGGACAGCGATCATATTAGGCTGTTATCTGTGTTGAGTGGCCTGAAGCAGAGGGGATTGGAAACAGGCACACCAGGGGGACAGGAGTGTTATTTTGTGGGAACTGACACAGCAAGAGCCCTGGCTATGTTCATTCAGATCTGACGGATGTTGGCAATCTCCCAGGATGAAACTTGGTTGTAGCCAGACAAGATAGCTGGAACTTGTGCCCAAGATTATCTCCTTCCCCTGACAAATCTAAAGCTAATTTACTTTTTTCCTCTTGTAGGCAGAATTTTTTTATCCCTAAGGCAAAGAAATATCTAATGTTTGTCATAGAGTAAATACCACACTAATTCCCCTCTGTATATTTTCCAAACAATGGCACACCTGTGTCTATTGACTTTTGTGGTGTGTAGCAGGTGATTCATATGAGCTATTAATGTAGAACATGTTACAACTTGTTCCGTAACATCTGGATAATCTTGTTTTAAATAAGCTATTTGACAGTTCTGTCGGAAGCACTAAAACAATCTGGATTTCTTTACCACTGGTAGAGATAAACCACTGGCCTTTTTATTAACGTGTTACGAAACAGAACACGACACAAAGTTGTAAAGGGATATTTCCAGAGCAGTTTCAAACCATTTAGAGATATTTCAATTTAGACAAAATCTGCAAAATAATAAAAAAAGAAAATTATAAATAAAAAAAGTTGCTTATTGGACACACTTTTATAACCTCATGGAGGTGCTTATTAAGATCCATACAGAAAATCCCCAAGATTAAAGAATCAAGTTACAGAGCAAGTAAACCATTTCCGCATCCTCTCTCATACTAAATAACCAACATAATAATAATAAAAGAAAAATGCATAAAAATAATCAAGAAAAATAGGTTGAACCATCATGTTCTGTTAAGATTGACTTTATTGGTTTTATGTTTGGGGTCTCAGAGACCCTAAGAATGTATGTGAACAAATAACCATAATTATTTATTAAAAGTATTCATTTCTAATTAAACACTTGTTTCCCCTCAAAATAATAATTTAAATAATAAAATCTTTTTTTTTTGGACCGAATCAAAATCCAGCAGGCAGATGTTACTGACGTTTTTAACACTCTGTTGTACCACAAAGTTGACATGCACTTTTCAGAAATGTAACATTCATTCTATTGGAGGAAAATCTGGGGGTCAAAATTAGTAGTTTTCCCCCTATAAAAATGGTAACAGAACAGAACATGAGAACTAATAAGCCAAAACATTAATATGAGCGTCAAATAAAAATAAAACTTCATCTGACATAGACATTAGTCACAAGAAACATGCAAGAAAAAAAAAGTGCAAAAATAAAAAAAGGTAGCACTTAATATTAAATCATATTTAAGCACTGGATGAAAAGAAAATCATTTTGCAGATCACACACTGCTTCACTGTCCCTCCAAAGGCTCTCTGTAACACACGTGCGGGGGTCACAGCACACAATACTACAGTAGTTATTCCCTCTACCGGCTTGCTTTTATTTCAATCTCAGACAAACTCATCAAACAGAAGCCTAAATACTCACAGGAATCTGCTGCATTCTTGTCCGCTTGTCCCCAAAAACACAGACGAACCTTCTTCTTCTGCTCAGTCTAATCCCACAGGCGTGAAAAACAGAGAGTGCTGAGGAAATCCAAAGAAACGTCTACCACAGCAGACGCGGGAGAGAAGCCCCGCCACTAGCGCGAAGAACGGTGCGGAGCGAGAGAGGCACTGGGGAGACATATGCTGCCAAAGCCTCTCGCCTGGCAAAGAAGCTCATTAAACGAGTGACAATCACTCCCACAAAGCCAGATCTGAGCGCTTTTCACATGGAGTATACAAAGAAGGAGAGATACAGAGAGAGAGAGAAGTGAGAGAGAATGAATGAGTGAGAGAGAATGAAAGAGAGTGAAGGAATTCTGGATAGAAGAAGCTGCATTTAAAGCGCTCATGCATGGGGAGACTTGTCCATGTTTTGTGCCATGGATGTCAAGATCTGTGTTTTTCCTTTTGTAACACTGTCACTACGGTTAAATGGGGTTAATTTGGAGTTTCAGTATCATTTTAGATTAAAAAGGAAAAACTGCAATACACATTTTTCAGACGACTATATTTCTGAGAAAACTATTAGTTTAGTCACGCTTTTACATTTTATGAAGACAGTGTGAGCAGTGCTTGCTGGTACAAGAGTAGCCATCATGATGTTCTGGGTGATTGCAAGGACGTTGCTATGCAGTTGCTAAGGTGTTCAATATGGTTTTTAGTGTGTTGCTATGCAGTTGCGAGCGTGCTGCTAGGTAGTATTGGGTGAGCAAAAGAACCCACCCCTGAGTCTATGATATGCTGGTCTATAGATATGGGTTTCGCTTATTTTCTCATTGGCCAGGGTAAATAGAAAATAAAATCTCTTAGAAAAGATATAAAATTTGAACCCTAAGCTACCCTAAGATATCAAATCCCAAACCCTAAGCATGAACAACAGCAAAAGTGATGGTATCCTTGGCAAAAAACAACAATACACATCCTTTCAGAAAACTATGCATGATCAAATCTGAGAAAAGCAGTTTATGATTTTTAGATACATTTTTTAATTTACATACATTTTTAAATGTCATGTAATCAGTCATATTAGTTTAACCAAAAATGAAAATTCTCGTCTCTCATGTCATTCTTTCATTTTGTTCATACAATGTGAAGTCAAGTGTTCAAGTCAAATCGTCCAATGTTATTTTGATATTGTAATTTAAAATATCATTTTTGTTTTCAAAAAAAAAAGGAAGGAAAAGACAGAGCTTTAGAACAATATTTTTGGTTTGTACTATCCCTTTAAATTATAGGTTCTCAATCTTAGGGGTCATGACCCCACATGGGGTCGCCAAAAATGCATATGATACCTTGTAAGATTTCTATACACTGTATCCTCTAGTACATATTGTACAGTACATATTTAACGTTTTTCCAGCATATTTATATAGCTATAGGTTAGACAAATTATGTAGCTTCTCTAAAGTATTTTCCAAACCATAAGCTACAGCATGATTAGGATTGTGCACTTTCAATTATAATTAATATATATATATTTTATTTTTTTTTATTTTTGTATTTTTATGGATTGAATAACTGTAATGAAACAGTTTTTATTTTTAGCATTATCATTTGCGGTCTGTGAGATCCTAAATCAGGAATCCTCAAATCTGGCCCACAAAATCCACTTCCCTGCAGAGTTTAGCTGTAACCCTTTTCAAAAACACCTGAGCATGCTAACCAGTGTCTTCAGGATCATTAGAAAATCACAGGTAGGTGAGTTTGATTACGGTTGGAGCTAAACTCTGCAGTGCATTGGCCGTCCAGGGCAAGATTTAAGCAACCCTGTCATAAATCACATAGCTTAATTCTGTAACATTGGGGGGATGCAAGATCACCATGGACCAAAAAATGATGATAACCTCTGCCTTAAATCCACTTGACTGACATGAGCCAGTGGACAGCACCAGTTCATTTGTACCTCACAAACAGGACTAGATCTCTGGGGATCATGTGATTTGCCAACAGAGCAAATAGCACAGGGCAGGACATGGTCACACAATCTAAACACAAAAGCCCCACCCCATCCTGCAATGCTGAGGTGGAACAGGCTCACTGTGATGCATGATGTGGAATTGGGTGAATGGGTGTGGGGAGAGGCTGAGATCGGGAAGGCTTGACATGTTTGCTTGAATTATGCTGATGTAGGTGCCGCTGACATGTCTGTCAAATGGAAGAGTGTCCATATAGGTAAAGGTATAATTAGTCTTTAATGTCTCCAGGAAATGATGCTCTCCATGTGTCAAGTGCTCTCCGTGTGAGGTGAGATCATACAATGTACCATCAATTACAGGAAACATCATTAAACGTACAGGTGCCATAAACACTCCTAATTAAAATTCAATTAAAATGGATTCTTTCGTGTGCTCGCCATTTACATGTACAATTAATTTCATTATCTGTGACTCTTATCCATTACAAGCCACGAGATCGTCTGAAATGCATGAAGGACTTTCACATATTTTTCCATGTCAAATTCTTGCTCAGTGTCTGACAGATATTTTTTATCTGCTTCCAATCAGGATAATTAATCACTTAAATGTGTTTTCGTTAAGCCAAAACCATTTCCCCTTTCCTATTTAACATGTTTAATGTTGACATGTCATGGCAAAAAACTACATTACCCATGATTCTGCAAAAATCTCTACCAATAGATTTCAATAGTCTGGTTCCTTTTCTCCATAGGGAAATTGACCATAATGTATAAACCTTAAAGACAGATCTGCACCAAAGTTTTCAGAATATGTTTTTGTTGAAGCCATCTGATTGCATTATTTTAACTTATTTTTTGAATAGTCATGTTTAACAGTAGACTTTGTGGTAAAAACTGCATTACCCATGATGCTCTATAGAAAATTCCACCAATCAGAAAATGCGGCCAGCAAATCAAGCCAAAAGAGCTTGCAGGGAACACCCACTCTGATGAAGCACTGCAAATACTTTTATATTTCACCATTTGCGATGCTTCATGGGATTGTAGTTCCTTTCCTCATTAAAGCCATTAAGTACAAAGTCTTGTACCTTTGTTGTTTTGTCTAATTTTCAAAAAACAAAAATGTTCAAATCAAAGTTTATAATATTGTGATTCACCTTGTAGCTGTTTGATTTGGTTCGTGGCCTATAACTCTTTAATGTGAACTGATTTTTTAAAATCCCTATAGGAAAAAAAAAATGAATGGGAAACACTTTCAGAACCAAAGTTGCTGAAAAATGGTCAGGGACTATTGCTAAGGTGTTCGGAGTAGATTGATAATGTTGCTATGTGGTTGCAGTAGTGTTATGAAGGTTGCTAGAGTGTTCTGAGTGGCTGGCAATCATCAAAATTATCATTCCAACAATCACAGCACAAACAAGGAAGAGATCATTACTAAGTATTGAGTTAAATGAATTAAATACTAAGTAGGTGCATTAACAGTAATGTTTGTCTTAATAAGCACAGTGAACAAATATAACATCTATTATTGATGCTAAGCTGTTCTGCAAAGAGCCCATTCATCTGAACTTGGGTGGTAATGTGAACAAGACCCTTTAAATACCCCCCTATACTGGTTGAAGGAGGGACAGAGACAGGTTTTGGCAGGAAGAGAGGGTTGTTTGATAGCGTGAGCAGATTGCCAGACAGAGAGAACACTCAAAGCGCCACTGTGCCGGTGCTGAACTGACGGGGCCCTTCCAGTCCCCAGCGTGTCCTTTTTAAGTGCTCGAAGGATGAAGCTGCCATTATGGCCGCACAAACAGAAAAACGGCTGATGAACTTCATAGGAATGCTTCTTCCTGAAAGCAACAGGGTTAGAATAGAGTGACAGGAGGGAGTATAGAGAGCGAACGGGAGGGCAAGCTGCCAGTTCCACCAAGCTTAGTCTTCACGCAACCAGGCCGAACAAACCTGACATTGTTTTGGGCACTGCCTAGGGGATCACATCCATTCTTTCTTTTTCTTTTCCTCCTCTCCTCGATTTCATTCACCGTTCACAGTCAGAAACCACTCTCTCGCTTTTCCGCTTTGGAGGAATCGGTCGAGGTTGTTTGATCTGTCATTATCATGTTCTACGCCCACTTATGTTGTTTGTTTTGTTGCTTGGTAATTGAATAAACTATATATGACTGAATAATCTCACTTATGAAAAGGAGTCAAACAAAACAATATTGTGTGCTGCAGTTAACATGTCTGTACTAGGAGTAACAATAACTATTTAAAAATGCTTTTACTTGATACAAGACCATTAAGAAGCAAATAAAGCATATACAAATAAAGCATAAGGCTCATACAATACAGTTTGTGCACATCGACATACTTAGGCACTCACAACACAAAATGTCTTCTAAATATGTCTACTAGGGCTTCTGCTGCTTTCAGAGTTTTAGCAGCATACACGTGTCATAAACGTACAATAATTACAATTACTATTATTACCCACAGAAAGGAATATAAATACACAGAAATAAACATTACTGATGCAAGGATCTAATGTCTCAATGCATTGTAGCAGACACCATATTCAATGTTGAATAGTAAGGGGAAAAACATAATTTGCATTTGCTGGAGGCCTATAGCCTATATGAAATTTGGCCCACAATATAATAATAATAATAATAATAATAATAATAATAAAACAGTCCAGTCATACTCACCTTCATGTCTCTCCAAATTCGTATGACGTTTTCATTAGTGATACAGGGAAATGGTCATTTGCAAATCTTATCGAGTCTATCGCCAATGCGTTTTCTCTGATCGGATAGCTTTCTTATAAGTTAAAACAGTTCCATTGGCCACATAAATGTGTCTCCGCAAAACAGATATAAATCCGATCTTCAATTCCCACGCTATGCAAAAACGTCAATGAAAGCAACAGAAATGCACTGCATTTTATTCATCATCAGATCAAATTTGTTTATTTAAGATTAAAGATTGCAACAGGTAAGAGAGCGGCATCAGCACTTGTAAGATAATTCAGTCTTACTACATTTAATGAAGATGATTGTGTGTTGAGCGTCTTACTTTCAGATTCATTTGCGGCAGTTTGTGCTTCGGCTTGCTGAAGAGATCAGCTACTCATTCGCGGCGATGCGTGTTGCATTAGCACCGTCATATCTGACTATAACATGTCATATAGCATATATCACGCTCTCGCACGTTTATTTTTTAACATTTTGGGAGGA